GAGCAAAGGGGTCAAGACCAGGCTGGAGAAACCCACAGAAACTGCTGACCTGAACAAGGGGGAGCCATGGATCCCAGACTGATAGCTGGGAAACCAGCATAGGATTGACCCAGATTCCCTGAATTGGGTGTTAGTTAGGAGGCCTGGACAATCTCTGGGGCCTCTGGTAGTGGATCAGTATTTATCCCTAGTATACGAATGGACTTTGGGAGCCCATTCCACATAGAGGGATGCTCTCTCAGCCTAGACACATGGGGGAGGGCCTGGGCCCTGCTCCAAATGATATGATAGACTTTGAAGATCCCCCATGGAAGGCCTCACCCTCCCTGGGGAGCAGAAAGGGGATAGGATTGGGGTTGATGGGCAGGGAAGGAGGGGAGGGAGAGGGAACTGGGGTTGACATGTAAAACAAGCTTGTCTCTAAATTTAAGAAAGAGTTAGAAACAATAGTACAAAATTGAAAGTAAGCTCAAAAGGTACATAGTGAGTTTGGTGCTTGCAGTAAGCATTGTTTCTATCCCTCTGTCAGTCTCTAGGTTGATAATTCAGTCTCCTAGGACCCATTTTATCCCCAATTTAACCCACCAGGAATTTGAACAACAGAAATGCAAGTAGCCGGTCCGAGGTCAGGTGTTCAGGAAGTAGCCATGAGCAGCATTAACAGAACTAAAAAGCAGGCATGGGCTTCTTGAGACAGCACACTCCATGTGTCCATTAATGAGAGCACCATAACGATGGGCACTGGACAAACACAAAACACAAAGCACACTGTACATAAACTTCAAGTTTAAAGATAATAGCGAACTCGGCGCCTTTAATCCCAGCACTCAGGAGGCAGAGGCAGGCAGATCTCTGTGAGTTGGAGACCAGCCTGGCCTACAAGAGCTAGTTCCAGGACAGCCTCCAAAACCACAGAGAACCCTGTCTTGGAAAACTAATAATAATAATAATGTATATAATCTATTTATCCAGTAACTTTCATTTGATGAACCTCATGTATTGGAAGACTGATGGTGATTTCTAGAGTTAGGGATGGTGGGGAGGAGAGGGAAGGCATGACTCCTAGAGGTCACAAGGTCATCAGGGAGGTCTTTGTAGTGATACGTAGTTTGACATTCCTCTTACAGTTTGTTGTGTGTGGATGTTTTGCCTGCGTGTGTGTCTGCACCACATGTACGCCTTTTGCCTGTGGAGGCTGGAAGAGGCTATAGGAGCCCCTGTAGCTAGGGTTACAGATCACTGTGAGCTGACATGTGGACGCTGGGAACAAACCTAGGTCCCCTGTAAGAGCAGCAAGGGTTTTAACCCACGGAGCCCTCTCCAGCCCCTGGTAATACATATTGATAGAGGCTGGGGCTGCCCAAGGCTACACACCTGATGAAATGCCTCACAGCTACACACAACCTACCAGTATTTGTTTCCTGGTCTTGATACTGTGCCATGGATCATGGGACATAGCTCCTGCAAGAAACTGGGACAAAGTACATAGGTTTCACTGCAGCAGTTCAAATTCCTTATCAGTTCAAATTGTTGTAAGATAAAAAGGTAAGTTTAAAACTTACCTGCTTTGGCTGCTGTGGCAAATACCTTTAATCAATGTACTCGGGAGGCAGAGGCAGTTGAATCTCTAACTTTGAGGCCAGCCTGGCCTTCATCTACATGGAGAGTATCAGCTAGCCAATGCTACAGAGTTAGAGTCTGTCACAGAGAGAGAGACAGAGAGAGGGAGGGAGAGAGGGAGTGGGAGGGAGGGAGGAAGAAACAGACAGAGAGAAAGAGGGGGAGGGAAAAGGAGAGAGGAAAGGCGGGGGAGGGAGGGAGAAATTACAAAGTAAAATATGCTTAAATACGCTTCATTTAAGTGAATTAAGGAAGTGAGTAAATCCACCTCTTAATCAGATGTTCTTTATGCTCACCCTTGCCTAATTTTCTCTAATTCTAATGTCTCCGTCTATGCATTCTGATTGTGGGACAGCAAAACAATTTTGTGAAGCATTAGGTATTAGTGGAAAATAATCAGCACGACAGGTTGTTGTGCACATCTGTAATCCCAGCACTCTGGAGACAAAGGACGGACCAGCAAGAATTCAAGGCAAGGCCAAGCCACACACACACACACACACACACACACACACACACATACACACACGCACACACTCACACACTCACACACACATACACCCACACACACGCACGCACGCTCACACTCACACACACACATACACCCACACACCCACACACACACACGCACGTGCACGCACACAGGCACATACACACACATACACATACTCTCACACACACACATGCACGTGCACACACACACTCACACACACACATTAAATCATGAGGGGACATGTTTACAATAAAATGTTAAGGTGAAGGCTACAGGTGTCGCTAAGTTGGTAGCATACTTTCCTAGCATAAGGCCCTGGGTTTGGTCCCCAGTACAATATAAACAGGTTTATGATGGCTCACTCTGCTAGCCCTGTACCCAGGAGGTAGGGGTAGAGGATCAAAAGTTGAGTGTCATCCTCCGTTCTATTTTTTTTTCTTTTAAATTTCATTTTATATTCCAACCATAGTTCTCCCTACCACCCCCCTTTACTTCCCCCTCCCAGACCAACCCCAGTCCACTCCTCATGAGAATGGGCTCTCACAAGGAGTCAACAAAGTCTGACATAATAGGTTGGGGCAGGGCCAAGCCCCTCTCCCATGTGTTAAGACTGAGCAGAGCATCTCACCATAGGGAATGAGCTCCAACAAGCTAGCTTGTGTACCAGGTTTGTATTGTGGTCCTACTGCCAGGGGCCCCTCTGATAGTCCAAGCTTCACAACTGTCTCCCACATTTGGAGGGTCTAGTTCAGTCCCCTGGAGTTTTTACCACCATCAGCCTGGAGTTCATGAGTTTCCACGAGCTTGGTTCAGCTGTCTCTGTGGATTTCTCCATCGTGATCAGGCAAATGGATGGAATTAGAAAAAACCGTCCTGAGTGAGGTAACGCAGACTCAGAAAGTCAAACATGGTATGTATTCACTCATAAGTGGTTATTAGATGTAAAGCAAAGGATAACCAGACTACAGTCCACAGCTCCAGAGAAGCTAGGTAACAAGGAGGGCCCTAAGAGGGACACATGGATCACCTGCGAAGGGAAATTAGATGGGATCTACTGAGTAAACTGAGAGTGGGGGGGGGGCATGAGGGAGCCAGATGGGATCAGTTAAAGAGCGATGAAAGAGATATTAATAGAGAGAGCCACTATGGGGTTAGGGAGAAGCCTGGTGCTCGGGTAATTCCCAAGAATCCACAAGAATGAACCCACAGAAGACTCCTAGCAATTGGAGAGGATTCTGGAACTGGCCTCCCCTGCAATCAGATTGGTGAATACCCCAGCTATCATCATATAGAGTCTTCATCTAGAAACGGATGAAACCAGACACAGAGATCCACAACCAAGCACCTGGCCAAGCCCAGGGGATCCAGTCAAAGAGAGAGAGGAGGGAACATACGAGCAAAGGAGGTCATCCTCAGATCTAGAGTGAGTTCGAAGCCAGTCTGGGATCCATGAGCCCCCATCTCAGAAACAAAGATCTCTTGAAAAATTAATTAACAGGACTAGAGGAAATGGCTCAGCCGGCAATGCACTTGCCATGCAAGCGTGAAGATCTGAGCTTGATTCTCTTAGAACTCACAAGACACAGCATCCACAAAACAAGCACAGTGAACGCCTGTGAACACAGTGAACGCCTGCAATCCCGGTGCTGGGGAGGCAGAGTCAGGGGGCTCCCCAGCCTGTCTACCCAAATCTGTGAGCTCCAGGTTCAGTGACAGCCTGGGCCAAAAACTAAGGTGGACAATGACAGAGGATGATACTCTACCTGAACACACACCACAACAACAACAACTAAATAGATGTTAAGGAGAAGCAGTATACAGTCTTATGGCTTTGCTTCTCCTACGCTTGTGTGCGTGTGGGTGGTGGGTAGTGGGTATAAAGCCAAAATGTCAATCAAAATAGCGGCTTTCTCCAAGCAATGGCTTTTGGATAACTTGTGTTTCCTCTTTTATGCCTCTCTATATACTCTGAGCTTCTGTTGAGCAAGAACCACTAGGATCTTCTGAGACTTCTGACAGACCAATCGTTAAAGTTGTAATTAAAAAAAATAAAAAATAAAAAAGCAAGTGAGACAAGGATTTACAAGAACAGCGTTTGGTTTCTCTTCAGTTAGATAAGAGGCAGGAAACATAAATAGAAAATGTCTGTGAGACAGCAGAGTCTGAAAGGTTGGGAATTGTGGAAGGGAATTCAGAGTTGAGCAGGAAGTGCCTGACGGGAGGGCTGACTTAAATCCTGTGTGTGGGATTCATCACGGAATAACAAGACCGAGGACCTGAAGTTCTCGGAAGAAATCAATGTTCACCGCGTTGAACCCAACAGCCACCGTCTCCGGGTGGGGGAAATTTCGAACACACTGGACAAACAGCAAACAACAGCTCTTCATGCGTGCTGCTTGTGGAGTGCCATCCACAGCAGGGCTATCTGCAGCCCCAGATGAGCCTGACTCAGGCCCACCTTAAGATTGCATCTCCCCAGCTGCGCCGCACATGCCTCTCATATTGCTCACAATGCAAGCCTGGGGCTCCAGATAATGGGACTTGGCCCCAAGCACTACCGTGCATGCTTGTTCCTGCCATTCTGGGAAAGCCAAAGCTGAACTGCAGCGCCTGACCCTGGACAGACCCTTGGCATTCCCCTGGATGCCGACTAGATAGGGAGAGGGCTTTTGCCTTTTTAAGACCTGAAGCTGACTTGGGTTGGAAATCTCTGCGTGCCGAGTACATCGAACTCCTTCAGAGGCTCCGACTTTACAAGGGAGCTGGAGGAAGCTGTCGGTTGTTGATGTTCAACAGAGGTCACAGCTGCTGCGGCAGCAGGAGCAGAACCTCAGACACAGCCCGACTAGAAAGCCAAAGAAGGGCTCTGGAGTGCATGCACTTCGCGATGCGGCTTTCTGGGCAACCGTGTGCGGACACACACCTTCCCTGCTGCCCACTGACCAGTAGATCCAAGAGGACGCTTCTGCCTAGCACTGAGGACGGGAGGGTGAGGCTGTGGCTTCCAGGAGGATGGCTCACATTGCTGCTGCTGCTGCTGTGTCCCCTGCAGACACCCGCGGGGAGCATTGAGGTAGGGACAGTCAAAAAGTTCATCTCTCCGCGATCTATGTGGCCTACGCGCCAATAGCACATTTGCCTGGTGGTCACCTAAGTGATAAAAATGTAGGCACTGGCAATCCAAGAGCAAATGATGGTAGTGAAGAATGAGGGAAACAATATATATAGATATGTGTGTGTGTGTGTGTGAGTGTGTGTGTATACATACATTGTGTGTGTGTGTGTGTGTAGTTTAATTTTTTTATTATTCATAAACCTGGCATGATGGAAGTAAATGCCTTAGAGCTATTTTCCTGATTCTTTGTGCATGTTAAAATACTGTTTTCAAAGGACAAGTAACGTGAAATAAGCCTATTTGACTCGAAACGACTTTATAGAGACTTTGTATTCTAACTTAAGACCTACATAGGGAAAATAAACTAATGACAACAGATGAAGCGGGGAAATATTTGAGGTCTGGTGACATAAAAAATGTGATAGAGTTCATTGTAATATTGACACAATGTGAGGCTGGCTTGGCTTGGATTAATGGAAATTTACTTTGAAATCTGATGTCCTGGTTAACATCACTCAATCAGTCCTAGGAACTGGGTCTGGATTATATGTGAGTAGACAGCATGTCATCCTAAATCAGAGTTAAAATACCAGATCCTGTGCTTTTCTGCTTCCGCTCCCAACAACACTGACTTTGGACAGCATCTTGCCTAATGATGAGCACTGTTCATGAGAAAAGCATCGATTGCTTTGCCAAGAAATAAGCATCTGTTTGAATGTAGGTAATTCAAATAAGGTTCTCAATAAGGAGCTGATGGAGCCTGGGGAGCTTCTTTTCAAGTCTCCAGCTCCATTTCAGCATTCTCTCAACAATACTCCTGTTTCCTACCACAAAGGAGTGGGCTTTCCAGCCCTAGGTTCTGTCCTACTCTTCACTCTCCTGGGCCCCCAAAACACTGTTTTCTTGGGAAGATTTGGAAAAATAACTGCATACAAAGAATTCAGCTCTGCTCTCCACGCTGGGACTTCTATAAGCTAATGTCTAAGGCTAGAGGGCTTCCCCCCACCCATGACAAGATGTTATCTGAGAGGCTCCAGTCCTGCCAGCAACTGTGGAGACAAGTCTGACTGCGCCTGGAATTTACTCTTGAGCCAACTTGCTGCCAGACCCAAACCTGTGTGCACCCACGTGGCCTTATTGGCTGAGGAAGAAGGGTGATATTTCAGCTTCCATATTCGCTTGTGTTTGTTTTTTTTCCTTTCAGAATCTAAGTAAGAAGACTGTTTCTCACCAGAGTATCTCTTGGAGAACCTAACACTACTTATCAATCAAGGTTTTTCTTCCATAGAGTTAAAAGGTTCAGCACAGGATGGCTGGAAAGAAAGCTCAGGGAGGGGTTAAAGTGCTCGATGCCCATGCATGAGGGCCTGTGTTTGGGTCCCTGGAACACACATAAAATCCAGGTGTGGTGGAATGTGTATCTATAACCTCGGCACTGCAGTGAGAAAGGCATGTGGGGACATGCAGATCACTAAACTCAGCTAAACTGCTGAACTCCTGGCTCAGTGGGAGACCATGTCTCAAAAAATAGGGTGGGGATAAGTAGAGGAAGAGCCTATGACATGGACCTCTGGCCTCCACCTGTATGCACATGCACAACAAGATGGTGTGTGTGTGTGTGTGTGTGTATGCGTGCGTGTGCGTGTGCGTGTGTGTGTGTGTGTAGTTGTTTTGTTTGGACTGGGTTGGGTAGGTTTGAGACACGGTCCCACACTATAACCCAGGCTGGCCTTGAACTCACTATGTAACCAGGCAGGCCTCAAACTCATAGCAATTCTCCTACCTCAGCCTTCCAAGGGCTGGGATTATAAACATGAGCCACCACACGCAGCTCTTAACACTCTTTGTGACATCCATGAGGGAATATGAAGAGAAACTGAAGGATGTGGAAAGTGTAATTAAACTATAAGGTTAGTACTTTATTTCTTCAACAAGTTCAAATTGTAGAAGCACCGTGAGTTCTACGGTACAGAACACTTCCTCCCTGGGGAGATGAGCCTTTTTCTTTTTCCTGTGCCTTTTATGAATATTGACAATCCCAGCCAGGTAGGAATAACATGGGGATCATTAAAATGGACCTAGCTTGGTCATTCTATGTAACTCTGTAGGACACATAAAGCTGCATTGAAAAATGCAAATCAAGATTTCTTTTTCTTACAGGCTGCTCTTAAGGTCGACCTTGACTTAACGCCAGACTCCTTTGATGATCAATACCAAGGCTGTGGCAAACAGGTCATGGAGGAGCTAAGCCAAGGAGACTACTTCATGAAGGAAATAGACACTCATAAGTATTACTCCAGAGCATGGCAAAAAGCCCACCTAACCTGGCTGAGCCAAGAGGGGGTCCTCCCGGAGAGCATGACGACCATGCATGCTGTGGCCATCTTGGTCTACACCTTGAATCACAATGTCAGCTCTGCTTTTGCCAAGGCCATGGCCGGGGCTGGGGGGTCTCCCGGGCAGTACAGACGGTCATTCCACTTTAAGTATCTGCACTACTATCTCACCTCAGCCATCCAGCTGCTGAGGAAAGAGAGCACCACAAAGAACAGCAGCCTGTGCTACAAGGTACACCATGGGATGAAGAACAGGAAGTTAGCAGTCAACGTCGGTGCCACCGTTCGATTTGGCCAGTTCCTTTCGGCCTCCCCGGTAAGGGAGGAGACACAGGTGTCTGGGAACCAAACACTGTTTACTATTGTTACATGCCTGGGAGCCTCTGCGCGAGCCTTCTCTCTCAGGGAGGAAGTCTTGATCCCCCCCTACGAGTTATTTGAAGTAGTAAATAAGAGCCACAGCCCCAAAGGAGATTTGATAAACTTGCGGTCTGCTGGGAACCTGAGCACATACAACTGCCAGCTGCTAAAAGGTAAGCCTGCTCTAAATTGTATCTGTAGTTATCACTCTTTGCTTCTAGATTTCCTTGGAGTAGAGGAATGGAAAGAGGGATCGTGGCCTCCAGTGATAATGGAAATGACAGATTAAGCTCACTTTCTGCTTCATTCCCCATCCTCTACCACCTCTAAAAATAAAAGTCTCTGCAGTGACACTACTTGATGTCCTTATGTTCCAGCAACCACAGAGGACAATTACAAACCTCAGGTACTGCCAAACCCTACGTACACATCGGTTTGTTTGTTTGTTTGTTTTTTAAACTATACATATATACCTATGATGAAACTGAATTTATTATAAGCCAAAGCTTATTTAAATATTCACTCGCCTCACCCCAAAACACGTTATTGTAGTTTACTTGTTCTTCTTGTTGTAATGTGACAGGCACAATGCATTTGTGATGAGATGATAACAAACGATTGGCATAGGTGGGTAGCATACTCAGTGTGGAAACCTTAGGCAAAGGTATGATTCTCATCCCAATCATTATGGAGCAAAACTGCATGAGATTTCACCTTGCTGCTCAGAACTATACCTAATCTAAAATTTATGAGTTGTGATGCTTCTAGAATTCTTCAAGTATAATTTTCAGACCACAGTAGGCTAGAAATTGATAAAAATTTGAGAAAGTAAAATTGATGGTAAAGGAGGATTTACTGTGTTACATGGAAGATACTGACATTTAATGGGCCTTGATTGGAGGAGATAATGCTGTGGAATATTACTTTATGTAGAGATGTGTTACATTTGTTTATGAGGGAGATCAAGGTCATTATATGAATAAGAAGTTGTCAAAATAACACAAAGAGTAAAATGTTTTGCTTTCCAGTTTTCTATTTATTAACCCTATCCCATTATGACTGAACACCCTGACAACACAGAATGAATTAAAACAAAATTATTACCCTGGGGGGATTTTAGTCTAATGAGCAAAGAAAGCAGAAACTAATGTACGAATGTGAAAGTTCCTAGTGGTAGAGCAGATGTTTGGCTGGTCCATGCAGGGAGAATCTCTGCTTTGGGAGAAAGTGAGGTGGGCTTCCCAATAGAGGGCTATGTGGGACTTGAAAGGGACATGGAGATTTTTAGTGAAAGAGAGAAAACATTCAGTGAAATCATGGGGAATCGCTGGAGAGTAGTATGTGGGAAGGAGAGAGGCCTAGAGAAGGATTAGGGAGCTTCTCTAGGCAGTAGGTTTTGGTGGACCTGAATGGCCTCGTATCTACCTTATATTATAGGTAATAAAAAGGTATCAGAAGTATGGAGGACAATAGCTAGGCATGGTAGCACACAAAACTCTAATCCCGGCACTTGGGAGGCAGAGATTGGTGGATCTCTGTGAGTTCAAGGCCAACCTGATCTACAGACAGACAGACAGAGCTATTAGTAAGACCTTATCACAAAAACAACAGACACAAAGCAAACAGAAGCAGCAACAAAAAGAGGTAGCAGGTTCAGGGCTGGGGTCATAGCTCAGCCGGGAGGACGCTGACAAACACAAAGGTGTCATAAAGCCAGGTGTGGTGGGTACAGGCAGGAAGATCAGAGGTCCAGAGTGACCCTCCCACTACACAGCAAGTTCAGGGCAAGCCTAGAATGTGTGAGACCGTCTCCTTAAAATGGGTTGGAAAGATGGCTCAGGGCTTAAGAGTATTGACTGTGCTTGCAGAAGACTTGGATTCGGTTCCTAGTACCCACCCACATGGTGACACACACTCCAGCTCTTTCCTGGCTCCTGTGGGCACCAGGCATGCCAGTGGTGCACGGACATCCACTCTCAGGAGAAACACTCATACACATAACATAAAACAAGCAAATCTTTAAAATCGCACAGTGTCATAGTTAGGTTTCTATTGCTGTGATGAACACCATGTCCAAAAGCAACTTGTAGAAGAAAGGATTGATTATATATTACAGCTTGTAGTCAGCCCATCATCCAGGGAGGTCAGGGCAGGAACCTGGAGGAGGGAGCTGATGCGGAGGCCATGGAGGAGTGCTGCTGACTGGCTTGTTCCCATGGCTTGCTCAGCCTGCTTTCTTGAAGAACCCTGGACCACCAGCCCAGGGATGGTGTCACCCACAATGGGCTGGGCCCTCCACCATCAATCAATAACTAAGAAAAAGCTCTGCAAAATTGCCCATGTAGCCAAAACCTATGGAGGAATTTCTCCACTTGAGAGTCCCTCTTTCCAAATTACTCTAGCTTATGTCAAGCTGATGAGACACTAACCAGCACACACAATTTAAAATCAGAAAAGAGGTGTGTTAAGAGTAGTTTTCCCTGCCTGTCTGGTCCCACTGCCATGCCAGCCCCAAATAACACACACAGATGCTGTATTTGATATAAAGCTGTTGGCCAGTTACTAGTTTCTTATTGGCTAGTTCTGTCTTAAATATTAACCCATTTCTATTAATCTAATTATTTCCACGTGGTCTCATCTTACCGGAGAGAGGGCCCAGCATTCTTCTCTCAGTCCACCATCTTGACTCTCCTTCCTACTACTTCCTTTCTCCTCCTTGTCTACTAGTCCCGCCTATCTTGCTTTCCTATTGGCCAACAGTGCTTTATTCATTAACCAATAGAAGAAACATATTAATAGAATGACATCTCCCATCAGAGGTGGGTTATTTAATTGGTCTGTATTTTAAAAACAGCTCTGGGGATGTTGTGGGAAACAACCTTTTGAAAAGAGATATTCAAGATATCACAATAGACAAAAGAAGAACACGCGCTTTAGAAAAGGTTAGTGATCCCATTTCACCCCTTTGTGTTGCCACCCATTTGCTCTGCTAAGGGGCAGTTCTGAAGCGAGTTCTGTGCCATCCAATGCAGGACAATAGTCCTCTCCCACATGTGAGCGCAGGCACAGAGTCAGCAGCAAGTAAGCTGCACCATCTACCTCTGGATTATTTCCCAGTCTCTCTCCAATCCTTCATCAACACAACTGTTCACACCTCGGACTCAGCCCTGCTCAGTTCCATTGCCCAAAGTGTTGTACAGGGCTTCTCCAAGCTGAGGTCTAGCCTGCTCACTCTATCTGCACATACAGACCTGGGAGAAATGACCAGTCAATATTGTCTCCTCCCTCTACCTCTTGGCAGCAATCAGATGGCATGAATACCGGCTCCAAAGACCCAAGACAGTTGTATTTGTCAGAGCATGAAAAAGTACAGTAGAATATGAAGAAAAGAATGATGCTTTGACAATGAGTAAGAACACACCTAGCTGGTTCCAGAATTCTTAATGCATACCTGTCTAGGAGTAGATACAAGACAATCAGAAGGCCAAGGCCATCCTCAACTATATATTAAATTTGAAGCCATACTGGGATACATGAGACCCTGTCTAAAAAAAAAAAAAGAAAGAAAGAAAGAAAAGAAAAGGTGGTGCATGCCTTTAATCCCAGCACTTGGGAAGTAGAGGCAGGCAGATCTCTGTGAGTTCAAGACCAGCCTGGTCAACAAGAGCTAGTTCCAGGACAGCCTCCATAGCCACAGAGAAATCCTACCTTGAAAAAACAACAACAAAAAAAAAAACAAACAAACAACTTGAAACACAAATAGGAGACTGAGGGAATATATAGCCATTCTGTCAACTTCAAAAAAAAGTATTCCAGAACAAAGCTGAGGATGCCACTCAATGGGAGGCCACTTGCTTAGCTTAGCATTCAAAGGTCCCATGCTTGATACCCAGTACTGCAAAAAACAATGAGACAGAGAAAAAGAAAAAGGGTTCTTGGATCTCCTCCTCTTATCACACACACACACACACACACACACACACACACACACACATACACACACACTGCTCCGCTGAAATGAAATCCCTTAAACACAACTTTATGCTCAGCCATACATATTATCAGCCATACATATTATCAGACATTGGATGATGATTGGTTTGTCTTCATTGAATACTTGAAACCATAACATACTTATGAAAATCGATATCTTGTGTTTCCCTTTGTGGACAGGGCCTGAGAGCCAGGTATTCAAGAGCATGGCAGGGAATTGGGCAGCTCCACCTCAATCCCCTTGTGTGGCTTCGTAACCACCCCCACCACTCATCAGCTACATGTTCTTGGCCTAGTAGCTTAAGCTCTTTAAGTTTCTCTTCTACACGATGAACACCCAGGCCAGAGTGGGTATATAGCATCCTCAAAGCCCTGAGTCCAATGAAAGCTATAACATAACCCCATAAGGCTTTTATGAAGATTAAGTAAAATAAGATGCTAAACTACTTAAACATTCCTTAGCACATGGTAAATGGTAAGTCAGAGAGGTCAGCCTCCTCTTGTTGAGTGCATGGATAATGGTGAAGGAATGTGACTTCTGTCTATCTCCCAGTCACTGTGTAAGTCACTGGGCTAGAAGTACTTCTGATACCTGATGAGTTGAAGAAGATTATGGCTGGAGGTCCAAGCCCTTGTCAGGAGAAAGGAGCTGTAGTCAAGCATGAATGCCTACAGTGTGGTCACTGGCAGTGTGTAACCACTTCTTTTGTAATGTAAACAAATGTATCAATTACAATTTTGTGTAGCCTCCTGAAGTGAACTTATAAGGGCTGGTGGCCTTGGGGGTGGGCGGACCACTACATTCTAGGTGGCATTTTTTGAAACCGTGAAGGGAAGAGACATGTCAATCAAGAGCTGGCACGAGCCTCTGGTGTCCTCCCAGCTGCCCCAACTGTGGAAGTGTCTGGAGGGCTAAAAGGAGAGACACGAGAGCTTGCTGCAGGGGGCTCTTTCTTGCTTTGAGCATGGACTGTGGAGTAAAGAGGGGACTGGCACACCTGCTGGAGACAGACACCTCCCCCCACCCCACCCGCTGCCCGGAAGCCTCATCTGCCACAGTCTGGCTACTCACCTCCTCTTTAGCTGGGGACAGAGTGGCTGAGGACCGTGTGGTCTTGCATTGGACACGGTTAGCACCTACCTCCTTATCTTGATTGATGGGGAAAATGTACCGGGCCTCAGGATGTTCTCAGCTGATAGCTGCCGTATTTTCGTTTTTCTGCCACCACCACCACACTAGGGGACGCTCTTGCCATCTTAAGAAACTTCCCTTGGGCCCTCTGTGTGCATTGATAATGTTCTAGTTATCTCACTTCCTGTAACTGTGTCTGAACGACCCACACATGAACCCCGGGGGGAGGGGGGTGCTACCAACTGCTTTCTTTTCCTTTTAGACGACATCTCAGGCTGTTCCAGAACTTCCTATCTGTTCAATCTCCTGACCTTCCTGCCTTTGCCTCTCAAATGCTGGGATTACAGGCATGCACCACCACACTTAGCTTAATGTCATAAATTTCTCCATGGCAGTTCCTTTCCTAAGGAGGGTCAGTGCACTCTCCCCAGACCTGAATTTTGTAATAGCTGCTACTGTTCACTTCCCCCACTGAGGTCTGTCTAGAGAGCTCAGGGATGTTCTGGAACACTGACACCTAATTCCTCAGGAAACACAAATCTTCTAAGACTGTTTCTAATTCTTACATTATCTTTCCATAGCAAAAGCCATACTTAGTGCATATCCCCCAAAGTCCCTGTGAGCCAGGTGAGCATACTTTCCGCTTTCCCTCCTCTTCCCCAGTAACTCAAGAGACAGATTTTGTTGTTGTTGTTGTTGTTGTTGTTGTTCAAGACAGGGTTTCTCTGCAGCCTTGCAGCCTGTCCTGGAACTCACTGTATAGACCAGGCTGTCCTCCAGCTCTCAGAGATCCCTTGCCTCTGCCTCCCCAGTGCTGGGATTAAAGTCAAGAGCCACCACTGCCTGGCAAGAGACAGATTCTTTAAGACAGCACACAGCCAGACATGGTGGCACATGCCTCTAGCCCCAGTGTTTGGGAAGAAGAGACAGGATTGGGAGTTTAATGTCAGTCTTAGCTTATGTAGGCAGTTTGAGAATAGCCTGGGCTACATGAGACTCTGCCTCAAGAAACAACAAACAAAACAAAACAAGAAGAAAAAAAAAAAAAAACAATTGTTAAAATTAACCAATTGGGATACTGTCTTTGTGTCAATGAGAAAGAGTGTATTTTAAAAAGGAAAGAAAAGAAAAGCAACTTGCTTGCCCAGTCCTCTGGTTTACATAAAAATAAACTGGTTTGGTCTTGTGAACTTGCAGCCCAGGGTCAAGTACTGAGGACCTGAACCATTCAGAGATAAGGCAAGGGCTCAAACTGGTAACAAAACAGATTCAAGGAAGAAAATATGAAAAAGAATAATTAAGTTATTCTAAACTACCCTGTCTCCCTTGTAATTACTTTGTTGCCCCTCACATGATCTATACTGGTTACCATAGTAACATGTTTTCATGTTTATTAAAAGATTCAAACTATGCCAACAAAATGTTAATTTGCTTTTCTCCCTTAAGTAATTCCTTTCAGCAAAACAATGTATGCCAAACACACACACACACACACACACACACACACACACACACACACACACACACATACACACATTACACAATCTGTTCTTTATCACTGGATTTACAAAGAAGTATTTGTGTCAAAATATTTCAAGTCGTCAAAATTCTTGGCACGCTTCTAGAAAAACACAGCCACTGTTTGTAGCAGCTTAGTTTTACCTGTGACCTTTGCCAGTGACAAGCAATAGTGCCATGGTCCTGGGGAGTGGCTTGGTCTCTGCACCTGTTGCTGTGCATGTATTAGGAAAGCTGTTATTTAAACTTGCCCAAAAAGAGTCTGATGGAAAGGCTCTTAGCGGGCCCTCTGACGCTGGAAGGATTCAAACATCTAGCTCCATTACCCTGTTTTGTTTAACTCTGGACTTCAGTTCTCAGGAAATATCTTCCTCCTGCCTGTGGTGCACCACTGACCCATAGGTAGAGTGACTGTCTCAGGGAAATGGGTAAAAATAATAATAATTTAGAGCTGCTGGTAATGTCTTAAGACTGTAATCTTGGTACTAGGGGAGGCTGAGGCAGGTGGAGTGTGAGCAGAGCTTCTCTGTGCCCTCGAAGCTGTTTGCAAATAACCACACTTAGTTGATAGCTCCAGCTTATTACTAACTAGCTCTTACAACTTCAGTTAACCCATTTATAGAGATCTACCTTCTGACACATGACATTACCTCTCATCTTGCACCTCCTGTCTCCTCTCTGTGTGTGGCTGGCGGCTCCTCTGACTCTGCCCTCCATCCCAGTGTCCTTAGTCTGGTTTTCCCGACTAACCTTATCCCGTCCAGCTATTGGCCGGCCAACTTCTTTATTGAACCAATCACAGTGACACATCCAAACATTGTAAAGGATTATTCCATAGAGGATTGCTGTGAGTTCAAGTCCAGCCTGGCCTACACAGTGAGCTCTAGGCTGAGACCGGTTCTGATAGAACTGAATCTGACCTGTGGGGTAAAAAGTGACTAGACTTTGGAGTTGGAGTTTGTCAGCAGCTGCGTGACCTGTGATGACACCTGAACCTCTGAGCTGGTTACTCTGCTTAGGAAGGGGAAACAGTGCTTGCTTGTGGAAATGACATGACAGGACTTAGGTGTCCACTATCCACACAAACAGAAGCAAAACAAAACAAAAGCCAAAAAACTGGGAAGCCCATTACACATTGAAAGGGGACAATGGGTTAGCGGATTAAACACATGTTTTAGTGAGATTGACAGTAAGGACAGAAGCAGACACAGAAAGGTCTACCCACTGTTTATTAGGGAATAGTCTAAAGATTAACAGGAAGGATGACATAAAAAAAAAATAATGGGGGCTGGAGAGTTGGCTCAGCGGTTGTCTTAGTTACGGTTTCTATTGCTGTGAAGTGACACCATGACCCAGTAACTCTTACAAAGAAAACATTTAGTTGAGGTGGTGGCTTACAGTTCAGAGGTTCAGTCCACTCTCATCATGATGGGAGCATGGCAGTGTGCAGGCAGACATGGTGCTGGAGGAGCTGAGAATTCTACATCCTGCAGCCAACAGGAAGTCAACTGCAACTAAGCATAGAAAACCTGAAAGCCTGCCCCCACAGCGACATATGTGCGCGTGGATATATATAAAGGTATTTATTTATTTTTATTTATTTATAGGCAGTGCCTCACCATAGAGCCCTGGCTGGCCTGGGTCTTGCTATGTAGACAATCTGGCCTTGAACTCAGAGATCCACCTGCTCCTGGTACCCAAGTGCTAGGACAAACAGCCATGTGCCACCACGCCCTTCTTTAAAATTAGATGTCTAAAAATCTCTCAGGTCTAACTCATCTCTAAATTGTGTCTCTTTTGTTGTTGTTGCTTTTCACAGCTTCCAGCAAGAAATGCACCCCTGACCCAATGGTTACTGTTTGCCTCTTTTTGGCCAGTGTTGTTCTCTCTTCCAAAACCAGAGAGCTCCTTTTCAAAGAAACCATCTAAACTTTTGATTATCGGGATTATGAGATTATCAGAACCTGAGGTCCACACTTCCCATCACATTACAGGAGACAGGGGAGACAGAAGCTGGAAGAAAAAGTTAGAGCAGCCAGCCCTAACTAAGGCAGAAGACTGCTGTCTCAAATCCCTACTAAAAGGAACGTGGTACTGGCTACTTCCGTGTTGCTGTGACCGAAACCAAAGGCAGGAGCTCCAAGTAGGGAAGAGAAGCTTTACTTATAAACATACAGATCATCATGGCCCGAAAGGCATGGCACCAGGAGTGCCAGGCATCACAGATGCTCCCCTCCTGCAGGGTACCAAACCTCAGGCCCCTGCCCCGTGACTCACTTCCTCCAGCAAGGCTCCACCTCCTGAAGATTCCAGAGGATGGAAGATGATGTCCTCAGCAGGGGACAAAGTGCTCAAACCCATAAGGAGCATTAACACCCAAAGCACAACAGGGTCTTAACGTTGAAAGCACTCTACACTCTACGGAGAGGTGGAGGTGCAGGCAGACAGGTGTGAGGCCTTCTTTGCTCTGCCCTGGCAGGAACCTCGCAAAGGACCACCCTCCTGCTGCAGCTGCCCAAGGAGAACTGGGGAAGGCCCTTATCGCACTATTACTCAGGTGCGTGGTGTCCTCTTTGCTAGTCGGATTCTTATCCAATCCGGACGCCACTTGCCTGTGAGATGGCCAGAGGTCCATGGTGAGAGAGATGACCATCCGATTAGAGCCTAGGAGGTACAACCCGGGTACGTTTTCAAGATTAGTTTTGGGAGCACCGCAGGGATCTCTTTTCTGAGTGATTAGCTGAAGTGGAGTACATGTGTTGCCACAAAGACAGACGAGTTTGCCTCCCTGGGACACTAATTCAGTGGAGGCGCAACTAAGAAATGGGGAGAATTAAGACAGGTGAGAGCGTGTGGTGAACCTCTAGAGCCAAACTGTGTCTGAGGCGAGCGTTAAACTTCATCATTACAGGAATCAATAAATGCTGTCTTTGCTAACGTACCCTGGGCTATGTTTCTATCTTAAGCAACTGGAGAGGGTCGTGAGTACAGACTCACATCTTAGCGACAAATCAAAGAAGACTGAGTGGGACAACAAACGATTTTTCTCCAGAGATTTCTGTCAGCATTGAGGATCAAATCCGAGGATTCTCAAAAGGGGGGGACATGTGGAAACCTGAGAGAGAAAAATGGAATATAGTGGCGTTAGGTTTCTCAGGCGGCACAAGGAGGCAAGACAGGGAAAGAGTACAGCCTGACCTCAATACGCCGGACTGTCTGTTCCACAACAGGGAAGGGCAGGCACTCTCCCGTGGGAAAGGGGGCATCTGTGCTGGGAAGGTCAGGCAGTAACTCTGGAAGCCACTCAGGATGCCACCACCGGGCACCAGGGCAGTTCCAGGAGCAGGATGATTGCAATTGCTCTTATGCAGCCACAGGGTGCTAGCGGCTCCAGATCCGCATTCTTTCTGTGAGAGTCTGACCCAACCAGATCATTAGTAGGAATCCTGTCTTGTGACCAAGGCATTCCTTCTATCAGTTAGCAAACCTCAAGCAGGCCTGTAACAAGCTCCTACATGCATGTTTCTAAAACATTATTTAAAACTGGAATTTAGGCATGTTACTTTATAGACTAAATGGAAATTTTTATTTCAAATCTTTATAGGAAAGCATATGCTGTGGGGAGAGGATATGTATGGAAATCAAGGGGAAATATGGAAAAAAACTGGTTATCAAATACCTTCCAAAATATTTGAGCTCCACTATGTACTATGAGATGCAGAATATAAATTACCAGAATTCATAACTGGAAACACTTTCCAGCCTTTCCCTCAGGAAGTGCCCAGCTTAAATTCAGACCTGATCTCCATCCAAAGGCCCTGCTATTGAGGTAAACGGAGTAAGGAGTGTAGGGTGACTTGGAATTGTGACTACATCATGCAGTTCCTAACCCCTTGAAGAAGACAGAGATAAAAAACATTGGAAGTGGAAATCAGCTCATCTGTCCCAGAAAGGAGTGTGGGAGGGGCCATGCTATAATCCAAGAAACAGAATGGATAGCTAGCTATGGAAACCACCCACAGACACACTATCATCCTACAGTGGGGAGTCCCAGACTAATAGGACTGACTTAGAGGTACTATTGCTGCAACAGAACACTGTGACCAAAACAACTTGGGGAGGGAAGAATTTGTTCGGCTTCTACAGCGCTGTTTATCATTGAAGGAAGTCAGGACAGGAAGAAAAAGGGCAGGACCCTGGAGGCAGGAGCTGATGCAGAAGCCATGGAGGGATGCTGCCTACTGCCTTGCTCCTCGTGGCTTGCTTAGTCTGCTTTTCTCATGGAACCCAGAACCAAACTAACAGGATGGTACCTCTCCATCAATCACTAATTTAAAAAATGCTCTACAGGTTTGCCTACATCCCAGTCTTATGACAGCATTTTTTTTTTCCAATCAAGGTTCCCACCTGTCAGATGAATACAGCTTGTGTCAGGTTGACATAAAGGAACGGGAATTTCCACAGATAGCCCCTGATGACTTTTGCATAGGGTCTTTGGTGGCTGTCTAGGGGAGAGCTTTGCAGTGAGCCCCTAGGTGCAGCAACGACACAGCAGAAAATGCCACCCAACACCTGGCGTGTGTTTCTTTTCCGTGCCACCTAAATACATTTATTGAACTATGTGATACACAAAGGATCTTGGGGATTAGAGGTCCAGGGTAGGGTGGGCAAGATGGTTCAGCAGGTAAAGGGGCTTGCTGCACAAGCCTAACAATCTGAACTTATCTCTGGAGCCCATGTAAAAAGCCAGATACTGTCATGTGCACCTCTACAGTAAGATGGCAAACAGACAGGGGAATCAATCTCTTTGAAGCTCACAGACAGCCAGCTGAACAGAAATGTAAAAAAAGAAAAAAAAAAGATCCCCCCCCCCCGCCTTAAAAACAAGGTTGGAGAGGAAAACCAACTCCCAAAGGCTACCTTCTAACCTCCTTAAGCATGCCACACCATGTGCATACTTACACAGAGAGAGAGAGAGAGAGAAAGAGAGAGAAAGACAGAGACAGAGACAGAGAAGCAGGGATAAAGTTTTTCTTACTTCTAAAAGTTGAATATACTTGACCAGATCTCTCACAAATTTGTAATCTCTAAGAAGATATTTCAAAACAAAAACAAGTCATGAGAGGGTTATCAAAAGAAAGAAAACTCAAGTTTTCTTTGGATGGAGACAGCATCTGAACCAGGCTGTAGGATGTCTGGAGAGAGGGAAGGGTGAGAGGCGGGAAGGAAGAAAATAAGACATTGTGTATGGTAGTGTGCTGTGGCCAAAGCCAGAACAAACCATAGACATGAAACAGAAAAAAAAATGAGATGCCGCTGGGCCCTGGATGAGAAGTTTTCCAGCAGAGATGACGGTTTATTTGGATGGGATGCAGCTTCATGTGGGTAGGAAAGAGCTGAGAAAGGAAAGGCAAAGCAGGGGTGTCCTCGAACTTACAGAGCCAAGAAATGGGTCTGGCAGAGAAAGGAGGAAGGTGATGCTTAAAGCCACACAGTGTGGGGCTGGCAAGATGGCTCTGTGGTGAGGGCACCTCCTGCTAAACCTGATGAGCTAAGTTTGATCCCCAGAATCTGCATGGTCGAAGGAGCCTCCTGAAAGCTGTCTTCTGACCTCCACATGTGCATCACACACGCACACCCATATACATGAGCGTGCACAAACACACAGGTAGACATTATTTCAAATATTTTTTAATTGATAAAGCCAAATAGCAAAGCCAAAAAGTCAGCCAAACGTGTTTCATCTCTATGCACAGTCAGGTTTCTGGGTTAAACTATTTAAAAAGGTGAGTCTTACAGCGTGCTCTCCACACAGGCAGCATCATTTCTCTGAGCATCCCAGGGTGAACATAGAAGTGGGTATTCTAAGCAGGTGCAAACCAGCAGACTCATTAGCAGAGAACACAGGGACCCGTGTGGTCATGACTCTCAGGAAGTAAGTTCTTTAAAGTATGACATGGCTCTCCTGCCTGCTGCTGTTCAAGTCCAAAGCTCCAGACATAGAAACTATTCTCTTGGAAACCATGCAGATTTATGAATTTGGTTAAGGACAAAAGCATAGCTCATTCCCTTGAGCTCTCCCAGAAGTTCAAAGTTTTGGAGTATGAAATCCTTAAAGCGGTTGTTCCTTTAAATTAAGTCAAGAATCAGGTTAACATTCATAGTTTAAGCGAGGCATGGTAACATGCCTGAAATCCCAGCACTGGAGGTGAAGCCAGGAGGTTGCCCAGAGTGTACTGGAAGATAGTTGTAGGCATTCTGTGGGCTCCAGGGTCAGAAAGAGAACCTGTCGAAAAAAGTAATGTGAAGTACGATAGAGGAAGATGCTTGATATGGATCTTTGGCCGCTACACACACACACACACACACACATTCATACACTCGTGAAACTATAGACTAGTTTAGATATTTCACTGCAATATCTCATTTCTTTTCCTGCTAGTCTGGGGTATCTTGTATAGGTAAAACTAATCCTCAGAAATAAATTTATATTGACCGTTTAAAGAAACTACTAGACAAGGCACATAGTGACTATCTGTCGTAGTGATTTCATTAAAATAACAAAGCATCTCGTGTGTATAAAAACATCCTGAGTCCATTTAATATTTTATTTCTATGTCACAGTGTAGCGTTTTCTTTAATATACCCATCTGAAGTTCTATGCGTACTCTTTTTACTTAAAACAGCAGGAGAGGGGCTGGAGAGATGGCTCAGTAGTTAAAACACTTGATGTTCTTGCACAGGACCCAGATTCAATTACCAGCATACACATGGTCACAACAGTATGAAACAAATTCAATGCTCTCCTTTGGCATCTGAGGACACATACATACATGCAGGCAAAACACCTATAACATGATAATAAATACATAGGGGATGGGGAGGAGAGAAGGGAGGGCGGCCTGGGACTGGAATGTAAAAAATAAAATTAAAAAGACACTAAAAAGGAAAAAATAATAATAAATGCTTTTTTAAAAACAGTGAAATAAAATTTCTGGATAATTTGCTTTGGAAATCAGGATTTGGAGGGTTAGTTGTCCAGTGAGCTGATTTCCAGTGGACTTTTGTTGCATTACCTCATTTTCTTTTTAAGTTTTCTGTTGTGTTGTTTTTTGAAATGAGGTCTACACATCCCAGGCTACGATGATCCTTCTGTCTGTGCCTCCTGAGCACTGGCCTCACAGGTGTGTACCACCACACTCAGTGTTACTCAGGGCTGGGGACTGAACCAAGGGCTTGCTGCATACAAGAACAGCAATAACCCAGCTGAGACATTCCCCAGCTCTATCCAATCTTGATTTGGCAAAATTCAAGAGTCATTTTGCTGAACTTCTGGAACCTCAAGGTGAAAAACAAACAAACAAAAAAACAAAACAAATATATGGGCAACTAAGAAGTTAGAAATTAAAGGGATTGAAGATTGCAAGGCAGGGTCTTCCTTTCTGGGACTTTTCCTGGGAAAGTCAAATGAGACTGTTAACTTTGTCTACATAAAGTTACTGCATCTAACTGGGAGTTGGGGGTGCACACCTTTAGTCCCAGCACAGAGGCAGGTGGATCTCTGTGAGTTCGAGGCCAGCCTGGTCTACAGATCAAGTTCCAGGACAGGCTCCAAAGCAATATAGAGAAACCCTATCTCAAAAAACAAAACCAAAAAACTAAACAAAAGTTACCCCATCTTCCTGCCTCTCTGAAATCTACAGCTACAGTCAGTCAGATCATGTGCCCTCAAGAACCACCTGACATTTCATTTAGCTTTCTCAGAAATGCCTGAGGACAATAGCTTCATGCCCACCAAAGTCCTGCATGTCAGTATTGCAAAAAAAAAAAAAGAAAAAGTGTTCATATATTTCATATATTTTGATCATGGTTTTTCATTCCCCAAACTCTTCCCAGATCCTTCCCACCTAACTTCATGTTCTCTCTCTCTCTCTCTCTCTCTCTCTCTCTCTCTCTCTCTCTCTCTCTCTCTCTCCTCTCTCTTCCTCCCTACATCGAATTTATCAAAAAATAAGAAAATCAAAACAACAAACAAAACACCAATAAGACAAAAATAAAAAACAAAATAAGAAGTACACAAAGGAACACTGTTTTGTGTTGGTCAACTACCCCTGGGCTTTGGGCACGCCCTGGAGTGTGACTGATGTACCCAGCATCACTCCACTGGGGAAAACTGATTTTCCCTCTCCCAGCAGCTGTCAATAGCAAAGAGCTTCTTGGCTTGTGTGGGACTTTGTTCCACTTGCCCTTTCCAATGCCCAGTGTGACTTTCATGCCCACAATTGCCTCCACCACGTCTCACTGCCACATCTTTAAAGTTTGTATTAAAAATACTCTTTTAATAAACCTCCACTCTTGTTGGGGAAGCCTCCATCCATGCTCTGGGGTGAGGCTTCCTTTCCTTCTGGGAACCTTTTTGTCTTAACCATCATTCTTTATTAATCCCCACTCCGTTATACTGGCTAGTCCTAAAATTGTTTTCTGCACTGAAGCCATGAATACTAGTTTGGCCCGAGGCGATGTCCCCTAAAATATTAGAGGAACTCTTTGGTCTGGTGTGAGTGAGTGAATGGAGCTCTGTGTCCTTCTCTGTCCACCCTGACAAAACTTTTGACTCCTAGTATCCCCTTATCTTAAGACCTTAAAGGAAATAGGTGAGAACAAACTATCTGCTCTGGTCCTACTCATGTAAGCAAAACAAAAAAAAAAAAAAAAAAAAAAAAACAAAAAAAAAAAAAAGAAAGAAAGAAAGAAAGAAAGAAAGAAAAAAGAAAAAAATTACATTACTGCTCATTTGTTGTTTACTTAGTCCTAAGTAAATCATATCAGGAATGTTTAGTGGTTTGTGATAATCAAGACACTGGACATTATAGAAATTGTATTGAGGCAGGAGAATAGGGCTGAGAGAGGTCCGGGAAAACCCTGACATAAAAGCTGTGAGATTAGCATATGAACCAAACATTTGCCATATGGGAAGACTTTGACTCATGTAGATGTATTACAGATAGAACAGCCTTAGCAGAAAAGCCCATACAAAAATGCATGCAAAATCGGGGCTGGAGAGGTGGCTCAGTGGTTAAAAGCATTGGGTGCTCTTTCAGAGGATTCAGGTCCAATGCCCAGCAGCCATGTGGCAGCTCACAACTCAAATTCCAGTAGATCTGACTCCCTTACACAGACATGCAGACCAAACACCAATGCACATTAAAGAAAAAAAAAAGCTATGTGAGAAAGCTGGTACTGAGCAACTGACTGGTACTCTGGGATGAAGAAACCTGGAAATCCCAGCAAGGTGACCACCAGACTCCAATATCATTCTATATCAGTATAAATGGCAAAGCCTGGGTTGTATGTTTCCTGGGAATGATCAGTCATACACCTTACTTACTATATGATAATAAACAGATTACAGTATGGTAATGAATAATTACTGTCAGATAATGTCAACACTTACCTCGACTGTTGTAACTGGAGACAGACTTGTAAAAAGGAGAGATCGGTTTCTTTAATTTTGGGTGAAGAGCAACAACATATTTAGAACTATTCCCAAGTGTAATACTGCCTTGGTCCTTATAGAAGGACAGTCTACTTAGTCACTGGGTTCAAGCAGGCTTTCTTTGGTTGTCCCTTTTTATTGTAACAAAACAGAGCTACAGGTAAGTGGTCTGTCAAGTGGTGGCTCTCTGCATTTAAGTTCTAACATACCGCACATAAGCATTAATGGAATGCACAAAGTACCACAAGCATTATAGAATTCAAGTTGATTTCAGACAGGAAGGAACACCTCTTCCATCCTACCTCTACTTGGCCCCAGCTTCACTAAATGTGGAGATATCCCCCTCTATAGTCTTTATGGCTTTCTGAAGGACCTGTAAGGTTGGCTCAATCTTTTTGACAAACTGTTCCAGTTCATCTGCGGCTGCTTCTACTGGTCTGTCAGCATCCTTAGTCCTTAGGGCATCTTGAAGCTTCTTTAAGGCATCCTCTGGAATGGCTTTGGGGTGTTCTGGGCTCATGCTTTTCTCGGATGTGGTAGCACCTGGCTGCTCTTTGGTCTCTTCTCTATAGAAGTCGTGTAATTGAAGACTTACGATGGGAAACTGCATCAGGAGTGAAAGAGAAGATTCCAGACTCTCGAGGATGTGACCACTGCTCAGCACAGAGGCAACAGCTTGTGTCTGGATGTTTTTGAGCATCTCTTTAGCTGTGTGGTGTGGACCCGCGGTGGCGCACTTCTCCACGGCAGAGGCCATAGCAGCCACCACCTTGGAACACAAAGGCTCCTTTTGCATTTGTTTGTCTTTTACATCAACCATCATTTGCATCTCTTTAAAATTTTTGATCATTTGTTCAAAGAAATCTTTAATGCAACTATATTCTTTCAGATCCATTGGGAGCAGCTGAGTCTTCATCGTGAAGTTAAACAACTCGATGAACTTATTTATGAAGGAAACCAGATCTTGTATGTGGAAGAAGAATACTTTGGCAGCTTGAATCAGTCTCTCTTTGTCCTTTTCTGACTGGGAAGACATTTCTCCAACCGAGAAATCACAGCCCTGTTAAGCAAAGCAGAATTCAAATGAAAACCAAAAGTGGAGCTGGCCACTATGAAGAGACTAAAAAGATGTTTTAAATACAGAGTCCCGGCAATGATGGAAAAGCTATCCAAAACTGAAGTAGACATGATTCCAGGCTTTAATAGAAATAATAGCAGAAATAATTAAGAGGGTAGAATAGGAAAGTCTTGCTGAATTTGTACCACATACATGTTGGGTGGCTATCTGGGCATCAGCAGACTTGGAGGCCATGGAAGATGAACCCTCCCTCTCATAACCAGCTTTGGATCCCATTTGTAGTTTCCCTGGTAACACACTATTTTACAGAGGGAGGAATATCACGTTTGTTCTTCTAAGAATTGGAAATACTACAGAAAAGGGAGGAAGCATATAATTTCATCTTAAGATTCAAACTACTCTATGAAAGGAGGGAGGGAGGGATACCCAGACTTTGTTGGGCATCTATTAAGAGAAAGCTATTTTAAGCTGGGCATAATGGTGTATGCCTTTAATCCCAGCAGAGGCAGGTGGAGCTCTGTGAGTTAAAGGCCTCCCTGGTCTACAAAGTGAGTCCCAGGATAACCAAGGCCATGTAGAGAGATCATGTCTCACCAAAAAAACAAACAAACAAAAAAAAAAAGCATGAGGGGAGGGGTGAGTAATTTCTTCCTGGAGTAGTAGTTTGTAAATCTTATTTTTAACCTAGAGTGAAATCTGAGCTCTACCTCTGGTCATGAGCTACATGACATTCTAAACTGCACATAAGAATATAAATTCTAAAGATGTACTATTGTCCTTACCTTAAGAAGTTGACCCAATTGCGTGTATCCATCACTGAGATAGGACCCCTCAAAGCTGTGACCTCAGGAAGTAAGATACACTAAAACCCCTGCTATAAAGGTGCCCTGGCACTAGGGAGATGGCCACCTACAAGTCGGGTGACCTCAGTTTGACCCCAGAACCCCGGTAGAAGGATGGAAGGGATCCTGAAAGTTCCCACACATGCACCTGTAACAAGTGCATGCCTCCACACTACCAACAATAGTAACAGTGGAATTAAAAATCCTTTTTAAATGAGGGGGAAAACGTGAGAGGAATATTTGATATTTATTGGTAATGTATGCTATTATAAAGACAAAATTTCTGCAGTGGTTGCAGACCTTTATCAAACCCGAGTGGTACCTTGGAATGTGTAAGTTTTCGTTCCCCACTTCCTCTCCCCTTGTTTTGGATACTGACACAAACCCTAGTCCTGCTTGCCTTGACACGCTGGCCATTTACCTCTGGGTCTCTCTCTCCATTCCTCCCTCCCTCTCCACTCCCCCTCTCCATACAAATGCTCACAAAAGTATTTCCAACTCAAAAGCAGGATTCTTTCTCTTCCTACCCATCTCCCCTATCTTAGATCCTTCCTATTGATGTGGTGCATTTGGGGGAGAGAGCACTTGTCTTAGCTCTGTGGGCAGGCTGTCAATGTGGAGATGTCAGGGAAGCAGGAGCTCCAGACAAGCAGAGAGCAAGGAGTGTAAGCTCGGACTCAGCTCACTCTCTCCACTCTTACACAGCCCATGTACTAGGGAATGGTACCACTCACAGTGGGCGGGTCTTTCCACCACAGTAATAAGATATAATCAGGATAACCCCCACAGACATGCTCAGAGCTGTATCTCGGGTGATCCCAGATTCTGCCAAGTTGACAGCACTCAACATCACATCCCTTCTCCTAGAAGCTGTCAAGATTTACAACTTGTCCCCTGAGCCCTCTCCTTGAACTCAAGTAAAATTGTCCTCAAGTTTTCTTCCGGCTTCATTTTAAAATTACTTTATCTCTGACACTGAGAAGCCATAAAGGTGTCCCACCACACTCCTTGACAGCTTACATAATCAAATATTGATATACAAATTCACTTGTTGGGGAAGGGTGCTCCCTCTCAGGTCTTCTGGCTATTTGTTCTCCCTTTCCTTAACTTGGCATCGATTGCCTTCTGTTTCATCACACTCTAGTGCTCTCAAAGCTGCCCAGTCACTTGAGTACGGAGACTTTTCCTTGGGTATCAGGTCTGAAGTAGTGTGGGAAGTACTACCCACGTTCAACTGTAATCTACAAATACAATCAGTAGACATGCTGGGCTGGAGAGATGGCTCAGTGATTAAGAGCATGGGTGCTCTTCCAGAGGACCTATATGCCAATTCACAACTGCCTGTAACTCCACTCCCATGGGACCCAGTGCCCTCTTTTGACCTCTGCTGCCCCCTGCACATGTTGTTCTCAGTTACACATAGGCTCACATCACACACATACACATAAAAAAAGGAATGTTGGGAGCTGACATGGGGAGAAATAGTATTCCCCAAGAATGGGCCACCTAACCGATTATCCAATACCAAATGTCAAGCACTGAAATCATATACATTCAAGCAACACTAAATGGGGTGAGCAGGTTGTATTTGTGTATTTAGAGAGGTGTGTGTGTGCGCGCGTGCACGTGCGTGTCTGTGTATACATGTAACAATAGCAGCTAAAGAAGCAGAAGCCATGCTTCCCAGAGGAAGTGAGGTAGAGTGCAAGGGAGGACGGGAACATCCAGCCACTGCGTCTTCCAGGACCAGTGCACCTATGTTAAGAAGGTAACAAGAGCAGAACTCCTCGCCTGGAGAACACAAGCTCCTGTATACGTTTTGGCTGTGTCTAGTCTTGTATGTCCTGAGAATCTGAACAAAGCCACCAGCAACAGATAAAGGTTCAAATGCAGCAGAAGCCAAAGAAAATGGATGTGGAAGAGTTGAGAAGACAAAGTCTCAGAGCTACAACCAGAGCCATCACCTCTGCTGAGCTGGCTTTGTTCAGTTTTATAGCATTGTTTAATAAAAGGAAAGCGCACTAAAGAACAGAAAATAGGCAAATTCTGCCAATTTATTAATCTCTCAAATTACATTGCTTATGGCATCAGCAGATTGTATTGTAGGAAACAGAAGGATTCTCAGAACCAAGCCAGGCAGATGTGAGTGTGAACCAGACTGGCAGAAGGACCCAGCAGAGATCAGCAAAGCCTGTAGGTCATCACATTCCACCAGAAGCTTCCAGATGAACCCACATGGAAAAGCCCTTCAACAATACTCCTAAACAGACAGACAGACACAAGACTCGGGAACCCCAACAAGGTAAGCGACATGGAAAGTCCTACACACGTTATAATACTGAGGTCCAAGAATGAAGGGCTCTGGAATACTGCCAGCTATGAGTAGCCACATCGAGTGGCAGCTTTGTTTTGAGAGGGTCACAGAGCATGCTTTGGCGATTACCTCTTTGAAGACACCAGGGAAGAAGACTTTTACCGAAAGATGCAAGACTAAGTTACTGGGGGAGAAAAGCAACAAAGATGCTAGTTTTAGGAAGGCTGGGGATGCCACAGTGCATGTGTGAAAGTGGGTTGCTTGTATGATGAAGACATGTACTTTCTATGTCACAAATGTTGGAAAGAGAGCCAGAACCCGGCTTTCAAAGAATGAAGGCGAGCTCTTACTTTAAGAGCACTTGCTTGTACTCCATGAGGTCCACCAGGCTAAGATACGCCATGTGCCTCTGAACAGCCTGTGATGGGGAAGAACACTGTTTTCTCAGAAATGCCTCAAGTGCACAATGGAATCTTTTGATTAAGTGGGGATGGGCAAACCTGATAGCCTGCTTTCTGCACAAAATTACTTGTGTATTCTGTTCAAGATATTTCTCAGAGCAATTTATATCAGAAAAGGTATCATCATATCACAATTAACTTTAAAAAGGAACATCAAGGCTTTGATTTGAAGTGAGGCTCAGGACTAGGCAGCAGCAGCAGCTTCTCTTCCCTTCTGCAAAGCTTCTGGCCTTGTTTGTATGCTGTCTCCATTCACAAGCAGACAGTGAGGAGCAGGGACAGCAGAGGAGTCGGGACAGAGACAGAGAGAACACTAGTGACAGCATCGGAGCCTTGGCCCTGCCTCCTCTCTCTCTGTCTCTGTCTCTGTCTCTCTCTCTTGTGTGTGTGTGATGTAATATATAATTACTATGGACAAAGTCCAGATCTACACGGGAGTGGCTGCATTGGCATAATGAGTTTGCATGTACTATCCTTCGACCTTCAACCCAGCTTTATAAAGAACAAGGCCCATCTTATTTTTTCTATGACCCTGCCCTACTATTTCTTCCAATTTAGTGACAAATAAACCCAGGGGTCTTATCACTTCATCTTAAATATCCTAAGTATGTATTCCTGAAAGGACTCTTTCTGAAATGTATCCTATGTTCTCCAAGTCAATACCATTTCAAACAAGAACACCTTGGGGAGAGATAGGTATCATGGCATGAAATTTTACTTTGGGTGTCAGCGTAAAAGCTTTGGAAACGCAATTTGAATATGTATCAAAGACAATAAAAAAAAATTAGGATCAGTAAAACGGCTCAGCAAGTAAAAGTGTGTGTTTCCAAGCCTGACAGACAACCTGAATTCAATCCCCAGAAGCTAGGTGGAAGGAGAGAACTGACTTTTACTTCCATGTGAAAATAACTCCTATTATTTTGTTTTTCTACCTAATTATTCCAAGGAAATAACACAGATGATGGAGGAAAAACGAACTATTCATATAAACACTGTAACAGTGACATAATTTGAGATTTAATGAATTATGATAAAGATCTGGCATAGCTTGTGTAATAAAGTACTTATAAAATTAGAAGTATAAAATGAGCTAAAATAAGAGGAATTTTATTACCATAATTTTACTGTTACTTTAACTTTGTAAAGATTCTTAGGCACATAGACAAATTTTAGAAATAACAACAAACTAAGATAGTAGGACTCCAGATGCCTTTTTCTGTTTAAAAGTTCAAAGATTAGCATAATGTTTTTATATGTAAAATATTCTATCAGTTACTATTTTTGATTTCTCAACATTATAATTCGGGCATCTACCAGAACACAAATCATATTAGGCTTTCT